AGTTTTCAGTTGATAATTTGAAAGTATTGGCTTTTGTTCTTTGGACTTCAGAAGGGGAAGTAACCGATTACAAATGCTAGAACTGCATTTATCTATTAAATACCCCCATTCTTTTAATTAACATTCTTTTAATTAACAATTGTAAACCGCTTTGAGACTCAGATCTGCAGTGAAAAGGCGGTATATAAATAAATACTTACTTACTTACTACTTACTTACTTCTACAGCCTGAGTCCTGGATCTATAACCTGTCCATCCGTGGGAGTAGATCCCTCTCTCAATATGGGCCTCCCTTTCTCATCTGTTTTCCCCACTGGGTTTTTGAGTCGTTCCTTGCCGGTGCAATCCATACATTTATGTTGTGGTGTGGATTTTATTTTTGTATTTGGTTTTATTTTTACTTCAGTTCTCTGTGGTTTTGTTTGACTTCCTGTCCTGTTCCCCTGTTGATTGTTGGCCCTGCTCTAATTCATGTGTTTCTCTGTGTTTATATGTAGCCTATGCTCTTCCCCATTTGTTGCTGGTTCATTGTCAATGTCTTTGTTTGTCTATGTCCATGATCCTGGTTCCCGTTTTTCATTTGGATTTTTGAGTTTGTTTCTACCTTGGACTTTTGTTTTTCTAAATTACAACATTATTATTTTGCATTCCTGCTTTTTTGTGTTCTACTTAATTTCATCATGTGACATTTTATGGATATTTATTAACATTTATGGACATTGGTCATCCCGCTCCCTATGGACCATTGAGCAATTGGTCCATAGGGAGTGGGAATCAACCCTAACCCTAACCATAACACCAAGACGATTTCTGTTGTGATTATAGGCAAAACTAAAATAAATTCAAATTATCTGAAAATGTAATTATAAGGAATTGTATATTTGTAAAATTTAAGTTGCCATGTTTTCCCAATCTGGTCCAATCTGCCGGATGCAAGATAAATGCCATAGTGAGTAACATTTTACACAAATAAATCTCAATCAAAACAGGAAGACTAAATCCTCTCTAGCATAAATATTACCTTTATCATTTTTAGTGGCCCCCAAGAGATTTTCACTTATTGTGATGAACTTGCAACCATTGATAGCTAAGGTTAATATGGGTTAAAATGATACGTTATTGTTTTAACGCGGATTTCCTCAAGCAACAAGAAAAAAAACACATCATTTATTTTATGCTCAGCCTGTAATAACCAGAATTTCACACTTTTTGGTCCAGTTTTGCCTCAATTCAAGCTTCTTTGTTAAAATATCAACTAGAAAATAACTAGACTATTGTTAACCCTTTAGGCAGTGAGTAAAGTGAAAGAGAGGTGGAGCCCTGAAACTTTAAAAGAGATTAATTAAATAAAATAGCAATATGTAAGGTTTTTGGAAGAAAATCAAGGTCATTGTAAAGAAAGTGTCCTAACCCTGAATTTAGAAGCTTATGTATCCATTCTACTAGGTCTACAGGGTAAAATAAACATAATCATTTGGTCAAAATACCTCAAAATGTCCAAATATATACAACAAATATTCACTGATTTTGGAGAGGGTTAATCTTGTTTTGTCTCCGTATTTATTCATTTTATAATTTTTTGAAAGATAACTTTAGGTAATGTCGTATAAGTGTCACAGTCGGAACTTCTTGTGAGATAAAGAATCCAAACCAGACCAGAACATGGCCAGCTGACAGACCATCCTCCGTAATCGCTAATAGGAAGGGGAAGAGGGCATTACTGTACTTCAGTCAGTGTCAAAAAATAGACAAAAAAATATAAATTTGACTGTTGTTTTCTGCTATAATTGCATATTCAAACCAATATTTTTAGTCAAATTGTCAACCTTTTCCCATTCACACATATGGGACAAGCAATTATTTGTATTTTTTTTATTTGTGTCATCTTTATTAGTTCACCCTTTTTTCCCATAATACATACCACGAAATGAGACACATTTTATTTAATTTATTCATTTTGTTTCCACTATGCTCCCCTTGTGCCAAAAAAAATAAAACATTAAATAAAATGTAACAAATAATGAATAATAAAAATAAAGACACAAGCAACTAATGCAATAAATAAATTATCATTTATTGTTTATGTTGATATATATATGACTATTTCTACAGCTAAATAATCTTCACCGGTATAACATTAAAATGATTAAATAAAATCACAAAATGAGATGGATGTGATATGGGACACGCAAACTTAAGTCCACTGAACCTTTAGCATTTTAGACTGACCTGCATTGCTCAAAGATTGTCAAAAAATGCAACTGTTTCCTTTTAATTTGACCGCATCCAAATAACAAGATCTCACAAAATAAGGCCTGTTAACTATCCACAGCCTGCAATATTCATTTTGAAGACTATTTTAGTGGTCATAATGTTATGGCCGTTCAGACTAATCATTTATAGATGGATTATACCAGATTCCAATTTTCTTGTATATATACAGTAAAGTAACCAAAAAAAAAACGTATATAGACAATGATGGTAATGTTAGTATTCGTAGCCAGGAAGTGTTTATCCAATGCTACTCATGTTCTCTGTTTCATTTGGGATGAGGGGAAATTTGTTGTCTTCATTCAGTAAAAACACAGGTGGTTTTGATTTTCAGAACAGTATCATCTTTGGCTTTTTTTTTTTTTTGCTTTCCTGAACTGGACCCACCCTCTGTCCCCACTTACCCTTTTTAGATTCTTTTATGTCTGGATTCGAATGCCTCGTTCCACCACGAAAAAATCACTTTGAGTCACGAGTTAACAGCTACTGTGTTACTGGGCCAAGCACAGCATTTATACATCAACAAATCATCAGACGACAAGTGGTGTTTCATATTCCCCATCAAAGGAACTGCAGTGTGAAATGGTTCTTGGATTTTATGAACGTAAAAGACAACGCGTTATACAAAGAGAATGTGAAAGTGTTGACAGACATAGATTAACACAAGAACTATAGCATTTCAGATTTGTGCAGCTAAAATCTGGAACAAGCTTCCTAAAAATGTGAGACAGGCTTCAATGTTCAAATCCTCCTAACTTTGAGACTTTTTCTGTTTCGTTATGTAGTTCAGTTTTATGTAATGATTTGTGTGAAATAATCTTTTAACTTTGAAATGGAGTAGAGAAAAGCAAGCACTAGTAACCATAGCAACTACTGTTAACTTGCTACCAGTTAGCGTTAGCCTTTCAACAAACTGTTTTCTTTCTGTATTTCAAGTTTCATTCACCAGTTTTAGCACTTATTAAAAGTGAGGAAAGGTTCATTTGAATAAAACTGATGGCCTTTCAGAATTATATGGCTTTGAATGAGAGCAATCCAAACAACGGCTTTGGGAGTTCAAGTAGTTTCATACTTCTGGGAATCCTGGTGTTAAATACAAAATCAAATGCATTTGGGTTTTCTCTTGATTCAGGAAATACATTTTTATTTTTCTTGATCATTAAAAACACATGGGTCTTGGCTATTTCTAGAGCACACATCTCTCATTGCTTTGTGAGGCTGGTCAACACTGTGTCATTGTCAGTTACACATTCCTGTTGAAGATTTCTGTAACATATACATACAACTGTGTATCTGCTCTGCACGTTTTCAAACTGAGCTGGTAAACAAAGCAGTGCATGTTTGACCATCACTGAAACGGCATATTTTGACACATTTGTTTTTTTTATCAGTTTGTATAAAAAAAAACACAGATGTGTCAAAATATGCTGAAATGTATTGTTTTTTTCCTGGTTCTATTGGAACATTTTCACATACAGGCATATTTTGGCCTCTGTCACATCTATAGATCAGCTTTTTCAGACAGGAAACTGAAACATCCTCACTAAGCCAATCATCTTTTTTCCCAAAGTGTGCAATGGTGATTAACATTTGATTTTTACAGGACTTTTAATGGTGACACAAACACAAACACATGTATTATCTATTAACAACTGCCACAATTCCTCATGTAATAATTACTTGTTACAGGATTATTTTTTTTACTCTCAAAAAATGCATTAATTCAGATTGATACAAGATGATGACTGTCATGCCAATTGATTATGTATACATGCTCCTTGTTACACTTACATAAATGATCGCACACAAAGTCACCATGGAGACTCTTTCCTGACTTTCTCAAGGCTCAGCAGCCACTGTGGTCAGAGGTGGCTAAAAGTCTTCTGCGTTCACGCTGAAATCTAAACAGAAAACAAAGATGGACGTGTATGACGATTTGCGACGCAGGAATGTGTTTTGTGATGCTGTCCTCAAAGTGGAGGATTCACAGTTCCCATGTCACAAAGTCATTCTATGCCACTCCAGCAAATACTTCAGCTAAGAACTTACACCAACCCAACACCTGCACTGAGTCATGGAAGAATCACATTTTACATTTAATCTTCTTCCGATCTTTGAAGACATAAAGACAGTTCCACATGTACTACACAAGAACCCATATATACTGTGCCGGATCACACATGTCAAGGCAGACAGTCGACCAGGACATTCATGGTCAAATAGAGACATGCCTAGTCAATTGATTGGTCACCTTAATAGAGGGAATGGCAAAAAGCTCTCGAAACTATGTGTTATGTATCGGGTGTAAACTGTAGTCAGAAGATATTTTAAATAAAATTATTTTGCTCAATGGCTTCTGGTTGTTGCAGTTTTCCAATAGTAATCCATATCTTTTTGATGAATTCAATAATCAACTAACAACATTTTAGTACAACTAAAGACTGACAATTCAATGCTTGATAAAATAATGTGAATGTTTGTATTTTTTGTTTCTTTAGAGCCATGTTTGAAAGCGCAGCCTCTCAGAATGAAAAATTCTTCAGACTGAACGAACACTCTCCAATGACCATGGCTCTGATTCTGGACTGGATTTACACTCCACACAATCTTTGAGCAGACACAACATTCAGGAAGTCCTAAAGGCCGCCAACAAGCTGATTCTGGAACAACTGGTCCAAATCTGCTATTAGTTCTTGGAGGACCACCTGCTCCCTGAGAACTGCATCAGCATGTGGCACCAGTCTGATGTCATAGTCTCCAAATCGATGAAGGAGTTTGCTCGGAAGTTCATCCTGAGCCACTTTGAAGAGGTGGCGGCTTGTGACGACTTCCTGGAGCTGACGGTGCAGGAACTGATGGGCTTCGTGGGTGACGATACGCTCAATGTCAAGTGTGAGACCGGCGACCGCAGTGTTCGAGTCAATAAATGACTTAATCTGAGTTTGAAACCTAGTTATTGACATTGACATTATCCACTTTACAATATGTTTAACAGAGTATGCAAGACATGTGGAACTATTTGCAGAAGTGCAATAATCAAAGTGGATCTGTGCATTTGTTTTGAAGAAGATTTCCAGATCCCAACAAAACTTTGCACTCAATGAATCAACAAAAACAATACACCAGATATAAAATTTGTGCGAGCGGGTGGGGGTTGATTCAGGACTGAGACACTCTGACGTAAGTTGTACTTGTGTGTGTTTCAGATCCGCTTCTCTGAAATCTCAAACAAGTATGTGAAAAACAATGTCTTGAAAAACTCTCTGGTCGGCCACTTCGACTACAGAAACATTGTCTTGAGCGGCCTCAGCACCTCGCCTCGGCTTCCAGAAGCCATCCTGCTGGCGATTGGCGGCTGGAGCGGCGGCAATCCCACCAACATCATTGAGGCGTTTGACTGGAAGGCTAATCGCTGGGTCAACGTGACAAACCATCAGGAGGGCCCTCGTGCTTACCACGGCGCTGTGTTCCTCGACGGCTTGGTGTACTGTGTGGGAGGTTTTAACCGTTTGGAGCAGTTCAAGTGGCACGAGCTGCCCCCCATGTACCACCGCCGCAGCTACGTCAGTGTGACTGTGATGCACAGCTGCATCTACGCCATCGGGGGATTTGACAGAGCATTACGACTGAACACGGCTGAAGTCTTTAACCCTCAGACCACTCAGTGGTCTCTGATCGCACAGATGAACCAGCAGAGGAGTGACGCCAACTGTGCCACACTTAAAATCTGGAACAGTCTTCCTGAAGATGTGAGACAGGCCTCCTCTCTGACAATGTTTAAAACCAGGTTAAAAACGGTTCTGTTTAGCTGTGCATACAACTGAGGGATTTTATATTTTTATCTTTCTTTTTAACCCTCTATGCCCATGGGTCATTTTGGGGAACTTTCCTCGCCTGGTTTTCTTTGTGTATAATGGTTCATAAAACAGTCATCTTTTGATGCAGAGTCAAGCAGTATACTTTGTTTTTTTCAGTACAACCTGGGGTTTTAGAATATTCATATTGTAAAGCTGTCATATGAATTATATAAAAATGATGGAATCATAAAGACGAAGAAAAAAATCAAACGGAAAATCAATTTAACAAAAATGTATTGAAAAAACACAATGAAATGCTATAAACAACTTTTTACACTGCATAGAAATGTTATTTATGGTCTTGGGGATAATGGGGGAAAAAATTGAATCTCTAACTATTATACTTTTTACAAAATTCCACTATAAAAGCAAAAAACTCTGTACTCCTGATGCCCTTCTTGAAGCAGTTTGTCTATAATGCTGGGGTTGCTTCTGTAGTACAGCTGTAAAAAACGTAAAACATAAAAAACTGAGCCAAAAAAAAAATAAAAACATCAATTATTTATTTAATACATATATTTATATACATCATATACATATAATGTCATTTTACTGTATTTATTATCGTCTTTATCAATAATGCGCACTCTTCAGCCGGTTTTTGCAATCGCAGCTGTAGTTTCAACTGTGGGAGAACAAGTACAGACAGAGGAGTGAGAGATCCCACTCTCTGACGATCTTTGGCAGTCCCCGTGTGTTTGTATCTCACAGCTGTTTGTACCTCACGGGTCATGCTTTGGACACGGACTTTCAGACAAACGTAGTTTATCCTCCGTGCATCGCACAGACAAATCAAAACTAACAAAGCTACGTTTTACCGTTCGCGAGTAAATTGATCATTTGTAAAACATGTGATGCACGCGGGCATATAGGGTTAATGTTCTGTGATTATTTATGATTTTAATGCTTTCTTGTTTTGTTCAGCACTTTGAATTGCCTTGTGTATGAATAATGCTATACAAATAAACTTGCCTTGCCTTGCCTTAATGACAAGGTTAGAGAAGAGAAAACATGCATTTCATCATAAGAACATGTTGAGTGTAATGTTGACGACACAAACACCTTTTGTGTTTTGCAAATCTACATTTGTGGCGGATTTAATGGTACTGAGGTCTTAGAAACGGCTGAATGTTATTGCGCCAACCAGTGGACTTACATCGCCCCTTTGACCAGCAGGCGCAGCGGTGTCTCTGTCATTGCCTACTCCATCCACATCTATGCAGTGAGCCTCATTCTCATCCTTACCTTTATGTGTCACATTACAACATACACAGTAACTCTGTGGTTACTCTATCCTCTGTGGTTTAAACATCTTCTTGTTTTGGAACATTGTTGTCTTGATAAAAGCTCTTTCTACAGACTGTATTCTAATAATTCCTTTCTGCCTTCCTTCTCTGCTGCAGGTCAGAGGCTTTGATGGTGTTGAGCGCCTCAGAAGCGTGGAGGCCTACAACCCGCAGACAAACTCGTGGCATGAGGTGGCTCCTATGATCACCACGCGCAGTAACTTTGGCTTAGAGGTCCTGAACGACCGCTTTTTTGCTGTGGGAGGGTACAACGGCGTCAACACCACATAGAGCGTGGAGACGTACGACCCCCTGATGGACCGCTGGAGTGAGGCCCAAGCCAACAGCCTGTTCCGCAGCGCACTCAACTGCTGCGTCATCTCTGGTATTTCCAACATGGCCGACTACGCAGTGGCTCCCGACATGATACGTCTGCTCGATGTGGACTCTGACGAAAACGATAACTATCAGATATACGTGTAACCACCTGGTTATATGAATAAACCAAAAATCTTAAAAACTTGAAGTGATTTGTTCTCTGTTTCTTCAGTTAAGCTAATTCTAAAAGCTCAGACCATCACTGAAACAGCATCTATTGGCACATCTGTTTGTTTGTTTTTTTTATACAAATTGAAATAATTTCAAATAAAATGTCATATTGAAAGTAACAATTTAAATCTGGAAAGACTCAGACAAAAAATGCATTTGAATTATAGTTATTGAGTTATGTTTGTATATATGAAGTAAATTGGTCTATAATTTGTACGGCAGGCACTTAAAATGATAAATAATTACATTCATTGACACATGCCGGTACATGGGACAGTGATATGAATTTGTTGCTTCGACCCCGGCAGAAAAATTGCATTTAGGAGTACTAAAGAAGTCATGGGCTGATGACATGGAGATGCTGATGTTGTGACCAGGAGGAGGAGGGGAAAAGCACAAGCTGAAAGTTAGATGCTTCACAAGCCACTGTTTATACTTGTCTTATTGGCAACACAGGCGCGTAACTCTGAATGTTTTAGTTTCATATGACTGATCCTACCTGTATATAAAAGATACATTTAATAGCCGACTGGGAAACATAAAGTGTTGTTTTTAGATGTAATCTCCAAATGCAAACCAATGAAAAACTGAATTCCCAGGGCTACTGTGAAACCAGTAGTTGTTGCTTTGATGAGGCCTGTATTTTAAATCAGAGCTTTGTAGAGCAGCTCCTCCACAATCTTTGACTTCAGCCCGTTTGTAAATTACAGCTTGTGCACGGAGGCTTTTAAAACAAGCTAACACTTCTTTCCCCAATGTGATTTAATGGAAAACAGGCCGCATGCCTCGTCAGACACATATGTATGCACTGTGTGTGTGTGTATATGAGAAGTGGGCAGAGGTCCGCTGAGGTCAGAAGTGTTTGTTGTTGTAGGACGTCCTGTTGTTGTCGCTTTAAGGATCAGGATGGCGTTATATGGTGGGAGACGCAGCTGGAGGTGTCTCTTTGAACTGCCGCGTTTTACCATGGATCTGGGAGCAATAGTTACTTGCATCAGAAATTGCTTTTTGCAGTATGTGAGTTGTGTGGTCTCTGTCTTTTATGTGTTTGAAAGTATAGATTCTTAATTTAGCTATTATTGGATTATTGTAAGATTGAATTGAGCATTTAACTATCACTAATGGCCTGTTTGGATTACATGGAACTGTGAAAATGATCAAAAGAACAGTCCAAGATGAAAAATATAACAGTCTTCATCACACAGTGCTTAACTGCCAAATGCTGCAGTGATAAAGGCATTTTAAAGTAATATATAGGTGGATAAGTGAATGCATAAACCAACTCACATTCAAAGTAATGTAATTAATGTATAAAAATAATATTGACCATTTTAGGATTTAAGGATTTTATCTCTACAACTGAAGAATTTTATCTTCCCCCGTGGCTATTTTAGATTTTTTTCCCCATGTGAGATTTTAATGCTTTAAGATTTTTAATTACTTTTAATTTCTATGTTTTTAATATTTCTTGTTATCTTAATGTTTGTTTTTAATCATATGTTCTTAATTGTATTTTTTTATGTTTATGTAGGAAAGGCACTCTACAAATAAAAGTGAAATGACTGATTGATTTTAAGGAAGAAATGTAATGTAATCCTTCATTCATCCAGGAGCTATCCATTGCAGATCAGAAAACACCCAGATGGGAGTGGAAACGTCTCAATAGCGAACACTGAAGCTTGGTCCAGATGATTACTTTTCTAACTTAACCAAAGAAGTGTAACGTGACATGTGATGATCACCAGTATCTAATGAATGGTTAATCAATAAGCTCAAATGGGCATTACTTTATGTTTATGGTCCACTAAATCACATTCAATCCAGTGCTAAAGCCAGTCTCAGAACTGCATCTGTTATTGATGAAACATGTGGGTCACCTGAGTTCAGAAAAGTAGCTACATGTGAAGTTGATGGGGAGCTAAACGTGATTTGAATTATTCCATATGAAGATTACTGCAAACGTATATCGTGTGTGTGTGCGTGTTTGTGTGTGCGTGCGTGATTGTTTTTGATTAAATGATTATTTTTGAAATGGAGAAGAGAAGAGCAAGCGCAAGTAACCATGGCAACTATACTGTTTGAATTGCCTTGTGTATTAATTGTGCTATATAAATAAACTTGCCTTGCCTTGCCTGTTAACTTGCCACCAATTAGTGTTAGCCGTTGAATTATTCAATATGAAGATTACGGCAAACATACATTGTGTGTGTGTGTGTGTGTATGATTCTATTCTATATAATGGTTTGGCTAAAATTAACTGGATCCTGGCGTGTTATCAGTGAGAGCTGTAAGGGAAAAAGGATGATGCCCAAGGCTCAAAGTACTTGTGTGGCCCCCCAGTGCGGCAGTTAGCATGTTACGGCCCTAACACAGGAAACAGCTTGGCAGAGCCTGGACTTTACCAGGTGCAAGGAAGTCACAGGACCAACATGTTTCTGTTTTTTATTGAGGTTGGAAGGTCAAAATACCTTACTGCAGTACGATTCAAGAAAGCCTGCTCACAGCCATTTTTGTACCAGTAAAATAAAAAAAATTAAACAACTCAAGAACACACATCCTTGCTGTTATGTGGCTTATTGAGTGACTATAGAACTCCCGGACATACATGCCCGGAACACCTCCCCAATGAGGCATCAAGGACCATCCCTAACAAATTCCAGAGCCACCTAAGCTGGCTCATATCACCATAGAGGAGCAGCAGCTCTTTTGACAGCTTAAATCCACTATACCCTTTCTGTCTGCTGTATTTTTTTGGTGATGTGACCATATGTGGGAACTTACACTGGCTGGTCTATTGAGAGATTCAACTCCCTCTTCATCACAACAGGTGCATTACGATTAAGATCCACAAATCCATGTACTGTTTAATTTGTATAGTGTGTTGTATTCAATGGTTATAATGTGGTAAAAAAGAAAAAAAAAAAGACTAGAGTGTATACGAGGCGTTAAATATTTTGTAACTCTTGACTATTTCTCTTTGACAGAGAATGGGGAAATGACCCTTTTGATAATAAAAGCTGCAGACCCGGCTATATATGCTGGAAAAATCATCCTTCACTCATGAACCAATCCTTGAGGTACTGCAACCATGGCCTCAGGAGGTGCTGCTTTCATCCGTGCCGCTTCACACTCCGTCCCAGTGCATTTTGAAGATCCCAGAGATGACCCCCTCTGGCCTCTGGCTGTACTCCCAGAGAACCCCTAAAAAGGCCCCCTCAGGAATATGGTCGTATGCCTTCCCCAGATCCACAAAGCACATGTGGACAGATTGGGAAAACTCCATGATCTCTGATGGAGAGCATAGAGAATAACCAAAAAATAATGCACATTCACAAATTCACAAATGATATAGGGCGCATGTCATTGTCAAAATTCAGATTGTATTATTTTAAAAAGGACAATCCTAAAAGTTACAGGGCTGCTTTAGGAATCAACTCCAGCCACTTCCATCTGTTTATCCGGGCCTCATCCTGAAAAACTCCCTGGTGTTTACAGCGAGGAGCGGACACTGATTGAACTGGTGACTCGAGGGCTTTGGTGGAAGGCGTGGCCAAACTGTTATGGCTGCAGAGATAAATGAAGTTTAGGTCAGTTTCAGGTTTACAGCAGCACATGTGTGTTTATTTTGGCCAAACGAGGTAAGTCCAAACACAGAGGTATACAAAGATGAGCTGCTGAAAGGACAATTAGGCCTATGTTTAAAGTGAAATCCTGAATAGTTGAAATCACTAAATTATGTTTTAATCTATGGTTCTTTTGAATTGCACAATTTACAGGTGACACCCCCCACTCTGACCAGCAGCACGTGGAGGAGATGTGTAAAAAAAAAAACAAGCAAAAAGCCACTTGCCTGCAATATGTACGGGACACAATCTGTACCATAACCCATTATGTGTGTAACATTATGAAAATGACAATTAACTTAATTTATAACGAAGTAAGAGTAACTTAAGTTAACACGTTTTGTTCACTTTTTTGTTAGCATCGAGAATATTGTTCTCTCTGGAACTGTTGAATAGGGCTGACTATAACTCCCATTTCCTTGTGTTAAAATCATTCAATGTGTGCATGTGAAAGCCTGATCCTGTCAACTCTCAAAAGCCAAGCAGAGCAGGTCCTGGTTAGTATGTGATGGGAGTCCTCAATAGTTTACCACCACAGTATATGGAGTGAGAGAATTAATAATGGGATGTGAAGGACTTTTGAGTGCCCAAAAAGTATTATTATTATTACGTCAACAAGTAAAATTAAGTGAATTGTTTGAATAACCACAAAACACATAAAAGAAAATACATCTATACATCCACAAAACATTTATAAAAAATACAGATACATTTTTTGTTGTAAAAATAGCATGTAATTTGACATTTGATTAATGTTTGAGGTGCAGCCATAGAGCAGCAGGTTCTAGGTTCTCTCTGAAATGTTTAAGTTCTTCTCAAGAAATGTCAACGCAACACCTCTCATACATGATAAACAGACAGATGTTTGATGAGCTCCATGGACCTACAGCTTAAGCCCAAACAGCTGGCAGAGTCGACCTTTCCTCAGATAAGGCCAGAGCCGCCCCTGGGACAGAGCTCTCCTCCTGCAGGATTCACACACGTCTCTGCTAATATCACCACCGCAGCCTGAACAAACTCCAGCTTAATTCTAAAGCACCAAGAACAAGGACATTGCACTGGTCCTGGCTCTGGACTGCTCATTTTGGAAAGGAAAGGGCTTTGGAGGGAGGAGACCTTTGGGATTACACTGACAATAAATACCCCTAAAATCTTTCTATCATGACATAAAATGAACTTAATTTTATTAGCTGCTACCACTCCTATCTACTGGAAACTTACTCTTCTTTGTTTGGCAAGACTCTAAAAGACAAGAAGCAGACTAAATCAACTGCTTCTCCAAACAAAATCTGTGAATATGTAACAAAAGAA